AGTTCGGGTACAATCTTTTTTTATACTGACATAACAGAGCATTTCTTACTTCGAAAAAAATCCTAAGCAGATGGTTCAAGAAATGAGAGCTTTTCCCCTGAGACTAGGAACTACCATGTCCTCATTAAAGACTGTAGATACATCTTCCAATTTCTGCTTTTATTATATTCTGATCAACAAATAGAAAATGAGAGTCAAAAAAGGTCAAAATAAATTGTTCTTTTTTCTCCTGATTTCAAAGAACAACCCCAGCACCCAAGTTTCTAAGAATAAAGCAAAGCAATGGTGTGTATGGGTGTATCTCCCTTAGATCAAGTCAAACCAAAGGTGCAATTCTTATTCCATCTAACCCATAAGAATAGCTTGATGACAGACATGGCCCTTTTCAATATCTACACACCAAAGCTTTTTAGGTTAACAATATCTTAATTTCTAGATAGATGGTTAAGTGCTTGATTATCTAATCTTAAGTTTTTCAAACTTAGTCCACCCAAGACATGCCATACAATTAGAAAGTTATTTTCCAGTCCCAGAAATGTAATTACTTATTTATACATAATATGTTGTATTTTTAACATTAGCCATTTCTTTATTTTATAATAATCCAGATATGAATGAAAATAAATTCAGGATAGCTTATTACCTTGAACTTTGTATATACTAGAGATCACAGCATTATTTTTATTTTATTTTTAATGGCAGCTAAATAGTGGGATATCATTAAGTAACTCAGTTGTCTGGAATTAATCTCACTTTATATCAATAAACCAATAGTTCATTTAAGTATTCAATAAATACTTACAGAGCACCAACTCTGTGTCAGTCATTGTCCTATGTGCTTAGGATACATCACTCAATAAAAGACAGAAAGACTTTTATCTTTGTTGGAGAGAGAGACAGATAAGTAATAACATAGTAAATCCATGAGGTATCTCCTGGAGTGAGATGGGCTGTGAGGACAGAAGGAGGAGAGAGTGATGAGGACTCAGAGTGAAGGATGAGAGGGTGTTTGGGGCAAAAGGATTTGGAGCTAAGACTTGAAAGAGATGAAGGATTTAGCCATGTGGAGATCTAGAAGACAATTTCAAACAGAGGGAACAGCCCAGTACAAAGGCCCTAAGGTGGGCGGGTATCTGGCATATTGGGGGGACAGAAAGGAAGCCAAAATGGCTTGAGCAGAGAGGGGGATGGAAAGAAGAGTAGGAAATAATGTCAGAGCGATAGCAGGTTTTGAAGTAAATAAACACATACAAATTTTTTTGAGAATTTATATCACCGTTTCCATATAGTATATTATGTTTTGTCTTATACCTGATAATAATATTCCCTTACTATCCTCTGACAATCAATTTCTTACTGAAACTAATTTCATATTTCTCATGACCGGTATAATTGTATGATTCCATTTAATTTAATGTTCTCTATGTCTAAATTCCAGTTTGTAGCTGATATTGAGAAGTGATTTTAAAAAATAAAGCAAGGATTCAATTATTCAGTCAATTTGAACTACATTATGAAAAAAATGCTCTGTGTTCATTCATGAGTAAAATAACATTGCTTGAAAATATTTATGTTGTCAAAGGAAGACACAGTATTTGTGAATTTAAAACATTTCTCCAAGAATTAGATACTCAGGCATGATAATGCCATAGTTTTGGTTTGTTTTTAAGAAATCATCAGATGATCCTACCAGGAAATGTCTTTTGAAAATGTGAGCCACATCCTTCAGAACAGATGAAGAATTTGATAAATGCCACAACAGCTGCATTTTCCTAAAAAACCATGTTGTCACACTGCCCCCTAAACACATCTCTCTAGTGCGTTGGGATATGCATATTCCTTCTGAAATGGACATTGCCATTGGAAGATTGAACAAAATAAAGAAGTGTTTGGTGATGTCCATAATACAGAAGCAAAAAAACAACTTCACTTAAGTCATAAACAGTGGATCTGAAACCGTATCAAACCAATACAAGAAAGGTACCAAGGTTACACTGTAGGAGGAGTACGTGCAATGGGAGATATTATGGTGTCCAGTTTGGGATAATACAATGTCCCACATATATTATCTTAGAATCACTGAATTTCAGCATTTGAAAGGACTTTGTAACTTACAGAATGGCGGCCACCAAACTTTGGCCCTTTGCCTGTTTTATTGAAATATAGCTAGCTGTGCTAGAGTTGCTTTTGCAAGAGAGACCATACGACCTGAAAAGCCCAAAATATTTACTATGACATTTATAGACAAAGCTTGCTGACTATAGATAGTATATTGATTAACCATATGGGCATTGGAGTTAGACTACTAGGATTCAAATCTCCATTCTGCAGGTGGCCCATTATATGGCTTTGGGCAAGTTACACAGACTCTGGACTGCCACTTCCCCACCTATATAATTAGGGCAAATAGTAAAGTCTATCATTGAGTTGTGAGCATTAAATGGAAAAGGGCACAATACATACTCATAAATGCTAACTCTTATTATATCATCTAGGTCAACTGTCCACTCAAAGTTATATACTTCTCTCCAAAGCGTCATCTACTACAGATTTCAACACAACTAGTGACGCAGGAAGCCCATTTTATCTTTTTTTTATTATTATTATGTTATGTTAATCACCATACATTACATCATTAGTTTTTGATGTAGTGTTCCATGATTCATTGTTTGCATATAACACCCAGTGCTCCATTCAATAGGTGCCCTCTTTAATACCCATCACCAGGCTAACCCATCCCCCTACCCCCCTCCCCTCTAGAACCCTCAGTTTGTTTCTCAGAGTCCATAGTCTCTCATGGTTCGTCTCCCCCTCCGATTTCTGCCCCTTCATTCTTCCCTTCCTGCCATCTTCTTTTTTTTTTTTTAAACATATAATGTATTCTTTGTTTCAGAGGTACAGGTCCATTTCATCTTTAATCATTCTATTAGAAAGTTCTGCCTTCCACTGAGTTGAAATCTGTCTTTTTATAGCTCTATCCTATTAATCCCATCTCTTTGCAGTTCTACAGAACATCTCTTCCAAATACTAGGATCTTCAAATATTTAAAAAAGGTTTCTCTAATAAGACTTCATATCTCCAGTTCTTTTCGTTACTTCTGTTAAAACACACTTTGCATCCCTTTCTCACTTTGGTAATTCTTTTTAGAAGGGAATATAAAGTATTTACTCAGAAATTGGCATAAGACTTCAGACAGATAGATGCAGACCCTTACTCCTCAACCTCTCCATATTATGCTGATAATGTGTGTTTTATGCTACTCAATCTTTTTCCACCCCATCCTGTTCTGGAAGGGTTGATATTTTTAGATACAAAGACCTTATGTTTACCCTTTTTATGTTTAATCTAATATAGCTCCAGTCTCTCAAGATCTTTCCAGATGTTGGTATTAGTGTTTAGAATGTTCACTGCCCCCACCAGCTTCATACCACCTATGCACACTTGTGATGTCTTGATTCAAAAGATCAATAAATTTCCCATTAAGTTGAAATTAATACAATGAGTAGTCCTGAACTTATTTAGAGCAACTGAGTATTGTTTTAGTAATCGAATTGCCTTCCCCTTGGATTTCTATCACCCTAATCACTATTTATTTACTGGTCTCACTTGGGGTGTCAGTCATCTTAGTGAAAGAAGTTGGAAGCAAATATAAGTTAAGATATAAATATCTTTCTTTCTCTCTTTCAATATTATACTTTAAAACAAGCTGTATGTCTGTATTAGTAAAGGTTCTCCAGAGAAACAACCAATGGCATATGTATATATTAAGAGAGATATTTGTATTAAGGAACTGGTTCACGTGATTGAGGAGGCTTGGTAAATCCAAAATCTGCAGGGAAGCCTGGCAGACTGAAGACCCAGGGAAGAGCTGCAGTTCAATTCCAAGGGCAATCAGCTGGCAGAATTCCTTCTTGCTAGGGAGAAGTCAGTCTTTGTTCCAGTAAGGTCTTCAACTGATTGGATGGGGTTCACCCACATTACAGAGGATGTAATGCTTTACTCAAAGTCCAATTTAAATGTTAATCTCATCAAAAAAAAAAAAAAAAAAAAAAAAACACCTCCATAGAAACATCCAGAATAATGTTTGACCAAGTATCTGGGCACTGTGGTGCAGCCAAGTGACATATAAACTAACCATGATAGTATCTAACTCTTTTCTAAACTTTTTCTTGAAATGAAAATAGCTAAAAATCTAGTATATAGGATGCCGGCATTTTGTTTCCATAATTTTTCCTTTGATAGCTAAGTACTCTGTTATATAAAACCATGATTAAGGGTGTAAAATTATAAAATTATAAAATTATAAAACCATGATTAAGTGGATAGTCATGATAAAAAAACAATTAATTTTTGTCACCATATACAAATACAGCATCTTAACATATACCTTGCGTTTAATATTTCCTGAGTCCACATCAATAACCAATTTTTTTCTGTATCTAAGAAAATATCAAGGGTAGGAGAAATTAGAAAGCAACAGTGATTTTTATTGAAACCTTCTATTGAAGGTTTCAGAATCTAGATGTCACTTAAAGTATGGATAGGTCAGCGTTCCTTAGTTCATTCACTTATTTTTAAAATTCCATTTTTTATATTCTAAAATTTTGAATTGCCACTTAAATTCCAATGCTATTTCTTCAAATGATTTCACAAGATTGTCAAAACAAATAGCTGTATAAATAAGAAAATATCTAAGCATTAAATGTCACTGCAATGTAATATTTGTGAACAAATTCTACTAGAATAAAAATACGCCAACGTGCTGTCTATGGAAATTAGACTTTACTGAACTAGTATTTTGGTTCTATACTGTTATGAATCTAGGTTTTGAAAAATGTGAGTTTTTTTTTTCTTGGTTAACCTTTTATGATAAATAGAAATTATTAATTTAGAGACCGAGTGACTCTAAGATTATTTTTTATGATTCTTACTAATGATTCCTTTTTTTATCTGTGGTGTGCTGTTCTCTTTCGTTATACTTTTAAATTTCCTCTCTTTAGGTTTGGATGTGTGGAGGAGAAATGTTTGATGTCCCATGTTCTAGAGTTGGTCATATCTACAGGAAGTACGTTCCTTATAAAGTTCCATCTGGGACCAGCCTGGCAAGAGTGAGTAACGGGGTCAGAATAAGTTGGGCTTGATAGGGCTTCCTGTAGGCAGACTAAGCAGCCTCATACATGGTATAATTTGTGACCCAGACGGACAGGCACTGTCTGATAGAAACAAATGACTAAAATAAAAACTCCACCACTTGCCATTCCATTTGACAGGCTTTAGTATATAAACCGTTTCTGTGTTCCTCAGAGTTTTATTTCCATTCCTTAAGGAACTATTAACTATTAATGCTAATTCTTGTGTTTAATTATTTCAAAACACTTTCACATACATTATATTTCATCTTTACCTCTTCCTTTTGAGATTGATAGTCTTAGCCTTATTCTGTAGATGAAAACTGGGGCTTGCCAGGTGGCTTGTTTATGCGCAAATGAATGATAAATAGCAGAGGAGGGGTTTAAACCCAGGTCTTCAGAACTCCCCCTGCTCCCCTTCATGGAGTGTAACAGGATCCATAAAAAGTCAGATGGAGAAACAAGACAGAGAGAAGCGGTTGCCCAAACTCTGCCTTCTCATTTGCAACTAGGGCCAGCTCTGCCTAAAATTTTATCCTATCCCCAAAATCCCAAATTTGGCCAGTTGCAAGATGTTTTTTCAGATACTGTTTCAAATAAAACCTTTTTCATAGGCTAAATGAAAGGATGCTTTTTTCTTCTGCATTTTAGAATGTTCTCATACATATTTGGGAGAAAGTCATGATACTTTTCGTGAAATAATCCTGACAATTTCTGTTTTCCATGTGACTGTCTCTAGAGCTGGGTTAGTTGTATTCACCACAGTATGTACCTGCCACCGCAGAGATGCAAAATCTAGGAGGGAAAAAAAAAAAAAAAGGTGGTTTTGCCACATGGCTTCACACAGTGTTCTCCTAGGAATCTAATCTTGAATTATTCATTTTCGTTCTTTTACTAGTATGGCTGCAATATATAACTATTTGAGTCTTTTCTAGAAAGCTCAATAAGCTCACAAGCTTCTTTAAAATGTAAACGAGTTCATCGGGTTTCATTAGAAATATTAACCCCACAAAGGCATAGTGTTTTCTCTGTTTTATTTGCTACTACACTCCCAACACCTCGAACAAAGCTTGATAGACACTCGACAAATATTAGTTGAAAGGATTAATTAACCAGGAAAAACTAAGACTAGAAAATGCTACAGGTTTGTCTAACTAAAACTTAAACATTTCAGTGAAGTATAAAAAAATTTTCATTTCTAGTGAGTCTTTTGGGGGAAGAGGATTCTTTCTTACTGCCTTTCTGAGATTGTCAACACTGTCCATTTCCTTAAGCCACATCCATAATCTTTTTTATAACAGTTTGAATTAATAGTCATGAAGTTACCTCACATACACCTTGAAGGGAAATAGTCATATTATTACGCCCTCTTCAAAAGATTAGTAGCGTACTCCACTAAGTAGCTGCAAAAATATGCTCTTTGAAAAAAAAAAATCACAAAATCATAAAGCAGTTAAAGAGCTGCATCTTGGACAATGACATATGATTGAATCTTGTCATAAGGCTTAACACATATGAATCTCCAAGCTCATTCAGGAAAACAACAAGAATTCACTAAAAGGTCCAGTTTTGAGCACATTATCACAAATCAGCCATGTGGATATCATAAATCACAGCAGGTTAAACTACCCCAAAGATAATGATGTTGTCACTTGTCACTTTCACCCACTCAAATGCGCCCAATTTGTGCCCCACTCTGCATCATTCATTTGCCAGATGGATGGAATGTGCGCTTGGTTTGTAGTCAAAATTAGTGTGTACAAACTGGAGGGGAAAGTTGTGCTGGTCCAGAGGGTATATTTTCAAAAAATAAAACTGTTCACATATTTTCAAGAAAGAAATTAAATACTATGTCAGTGTATATAAAAGTATATATACAGTGTATATAAAAGTATATATAAAAGTAAATACTTTTTCAAGGACTGTCAAATATAGGAAAACGGGCTGGCACATAAAATTCCCAGCAAATAAGTGAGTGTTCATTCAAATGAAAAAAAAGGAATTTTAATCTTTTCCACTTAAATTTTACTTGAGGGCTCATTTTTAGTTGTTTTTTTTTTTTTTTCTAAACTGCTAGAGCAATCAGAAAGTCATAAATATTGGAGCTCCACTGTCAGTCTAAGGAATGTTTTATCATATTTTAAATAAAGAAAACAATTCTGATTTTTGTGGGAGAGACTCAACTACCTGCTTGCTACCCTCTACGTTGTTACTAAATCATCAAAAATGATGAGAGACTTTAAAGGTGCTTCAGATGCAGGGCCATGTCTGTTCAATGGGTAGTCAATCTCTCCAGCCTCACTGGGAAATGTAGAAGATGGAGATTTTAACTCCAAAGGTGCATTTTCTTATTTTACAAAGCTCCTTTAATTTTTCAAAAACATGCACATTTTATGTGTGTACCTATGTAAACTGAGGATTCCAGCTGACTTCCAAACACACACACACACACACACAATTGTATGAATAGCTTGCAGTCCTCTAAACAGTGCACCAGTGTGTGTATTATAGAAACAAATGCAAATAATTAGTGCCTTCTGTTTACCTAGCATTACAGTCTGGTTGCAAGAGACAAGATAGCTATATATGAAACCATCAGAGGACAATACAGGACACCAAGTAATTGTTCAAACGTATTGTAAAGATATATATAGGTAGAGGGAGGAGGAGTAGGGAGGGCAACATAGCTGTTGAATTGAAAGAGGACCTTCTAGGGTACCTCAATTAAATGAACAAATTTAACAGAATAGTGGTTCCCAAACTCAGGACCAGTAACCCAGAGCCAGTTCCTGGACCAGCTTTCACCCAGCCTCAGTGAACTGAGAAAAAAAGGATCACAAAGCTACATATTCTCAATTTAATGATATCTTTTTATGCAGCAATTAGAGACTTTTTTTCCTTTTTTATGACAGAATACAAGATAGATTTTTATTAATGCCCTTATTTGGCAAAAATAAAAATTAGCATCCTTCTGTCAGTTCCCATAAAATGCAAAAATCCAAGACATAGTGACTTACAATTGACCTTCCTCTGGGAATCAGAGTATCCACTTATCATGAATACGATTAGATATTTTGCTGAGTCGGCATCCAGTCCAATGTTTGTACACTGGGCATTGTTGTAGTATCTTTTCACCAGGAACGAACCGCCAGTCCCTGAGGGAAGGGATGCTAATCCCTATTGTTGTAGGGAGACGAGACAGTCCCCAGGGCTGTAGTGACAGTTGTCCCTTCCTGGAGATGACACTGTCCTCATCACAGAAGAGGGAGCAGCTCCCCAGCAAAAGGCCCACCGAGCCTCTGCACAGCGGAAGTGGCTGAGGGGCAGGTGGGTGGAAGACTCCAAGGAGACCCTTCATTCTGATGGGTTGTGAGGTGAACCACACACTCTGCCCAAGGAGCAACCATATTGGCACCTCACAGACTTCTATGTGAATGCTAGTGCTTTTGGGGACAGTCAAAGCCATTGGATCTGAGATCAGTGGCTCTGTAAACAGGACATGACAGAGGGGCAGAGCCGTCACCCCATGGATAAACATACTAGCTGACTGTAGCACAAGGGTCGTCCCACGGATGCGACTTTACCCAAAGGAGTTTCCCCAGGAGGATCCCAAGCCAGTGAAGGGTAGCCCTGCCGACTGTGAGGGGGGCTGTCCTGGAGGCTCACACAGCTGTCCTCCCTAGCTCCAAAGGAGGACAGTATGGGACACAAAATTGGAACCAATCCTCACTCTAAGTTTGCAAGGGGTGTGACAGAATGCGAATCAGAGGATTGTGTACTTCTGCGGTTTGCCACTGACATAGTATTAATAATATTTTCTTTTCTAAAATACCATCTTGCATTTTATGGCAACCATCATCCAAGTTGCAAGATAAAGCTATAAAACGAAAGAAGTCAAACCCCGTAAAAATCCGATTGCAAAGGATGGCCTATAGAACTTGAAAATGTAACTCACATTAGAAGGGATAAGGTTAAATGTCAAGTGAGCAGAGCTGGGATGGTGAACTGAGACCGGACTCGCCAAGGTTTACCCCTCCTACCATAGTGCCCCTCATAGGGAGGCTTGGAGTAAACAGGGGCAGCTGGAGCAGAAGGGTGGGGGCTCCAGCCTGAGTTCCTACCTGTAGGAAGGAGTAGGCACAGACAGTGAGAAAGGATTGTGTTTGGGACCTATGGAGCTAAACCAGGAATGTACCTTGGAGACAGACTCTGGAGGACCCCGTGTCCAGAGAAGGGTGTATTTTTCTTATAAATTGTGGGGAGGTACTCATAGTTTTTGAGCAGGAAATGCCAGGATAAAAATAAAAGGGGCAAAAACAGGTCAACCAACAGGTAAATATTTAGTGGGAGAAAGACGAAGGAAAATAACATTTGAATGTAAGAAGCATTTGTAAAAAAAATTTCCTAAAAGGTTTTTATTGATTTGCCACACTGCGGTGAGAGAGAGGCCAAATGTGGCTATGAGGTTTTCATCATGGCTTCTAAGAAAAAATCATATCAGTACCAAAATGGGGACGTGAGGAAGGGGAAGGGGGAAAATGCTCAGATTGGTTTTAGATAAGGAGGGTGAGAAGCAACTGCCTTACATGAGCTCAGGGAGAGCCAGATCTCTGGAGACTTGCACAGATTTCCCATCTAGAATTCTGAGAGCCCACAAAAATCAGATTTTCTATATCAATAAATGTTCATTTCTGAAAAAAAAAAAGTATTTTTCATGCCAGGCACTATGCTAGAGCCTGGAAGGATAAATGATGAACAAGATATACATAAACTTTAACTTTTTTTTTTAAAGATTTTATGTATTTATTTGAGAGAGAGAGCGCATGTGCGCGCACATGCAGGAGTGTGGGGGGTGGGAAGGGCCAGAAGGAGAGGGAGAAGCAGCCTCCCCACTGAGCAGGAAGCCCGATGTGGGGCTCCATCCCAGGACCCAGGGATCATGACCTGAGCAAAGGCAGACACTTAATCGACTGAGCCAT